ATCTACATTTATAGTATTCATTGATCAATATGTATATATAGTAAACAAGTACTCAAGAATACACACTAATATGGTATATTATATACACTCAATAATATTGACGTCAAAATTCCTTTTAAGTGTGNCTCAAGAATACACACTAATATGGTATATTATATACACAAAATAATAATAACGTCAAAATTCCTTTTAAGTGTGAATTCAAGCAAAATGCCAAGTGTTCATGAACTTCCAAAATGTCAATCGTACTAATATTGATTAGTCCCCATTAGGAAAATTTAAACATGTGATATGTCACCCATTATTAAGAACAAGATTTCATTGGCCACACAATAATAAGATTGAAAAGATAGATTTGAAAGAATGGACACAATATTTTCTCTAACACTAATTAAATTGAGTACATTGTACACTGCAAAACTATGTCTAATAATTGTTAGAATGATTAACTCTAAGATTAAAATGTTGTCGCGGAAATGGGAACAAGATAAGAAAAAACTGTAATTTTATATGGGAAAATATTATTGATTTTTGTAATGTCATATGTTTTGTCGAGGAAATTGAATTTGTGTCCGAACACTCCTCCAAATCCACATTTTCCACTTCATCATTGGCTGATATTGGAGACAAACAAGGTGCAATGCTTATTTTTCCTTTAAACAGTTACTGCATTTAATAAATTAAACCACTGTTTGATCCCATTATTTTCAAAATCATATTTCAGTTGAATTGTTTTAGGAATTAATCGAGTTTTTATCAAAACCAAAATAGGTTTAGTGTAGTCCAAATTATTGTAAAGATAGTTTAAGGTTGATAGAGTCAAAAAAAAAAAAAAGAAAAGAAATCCAAGAAGATCAAGATTTGGATTTGAAGATGTTGATATCAAGGAGGACATTTTTTCGCTAGCCTACCGCTCATCGGGTGCTGGATTGCCAAAAGCAGTGAGTTCGCCGCTCGCCTAGAGCTCGAACGGCAAGCATGTCACTAGCCTAGCGATTGAGCAACGGTTTGACTGGCAGAATCTCTGTTTGATTTAAACATGTATTTTCTTAACCCTTTTAATCCTAAACACTTTCCCTTATATATATCTAACCCCATGAATGCCTCAAACTGTGTTGAATCATAACCCCATGAATGTTCATCAAGATTTCAATGAAGAAATTCAAGAATATCAAGATTATTCTTCGTTATTCATCAAATTCATAATCCGGCTGATGTTCTATAGAATTAATATATTTTCTTGTACTTTTCGTATGTTAGGCTAAATTTATACTTGCTAGAATATACATGAACCCTTGTTATGAAGTTTGTAATATAAAATAAGTATTTTGACTCCAATATGCGTGAATTCATGGATTTTTGTTATTGAGCTCTAATACTTTTTCAATTGCTTGATCACCAATTATTTTGAATGTAAGCTTTATTGATTTCGAGAGAAATAATAAAATAGATAGAACTTATAACAATCATTGTAAAGTTCGATATGGGATAAAGATATACCGCTATTCTTTGCATGATTTTATAGATGTTCTAGCGTTTTTATTGCGTGTTTTCATGTTTGCATCTTTCATAGAGATATATGGAGGTCATATGAAGGGATATATTTAATTGATATCGAGAGATTTTTTAATTAACTTAGGAAGATTGATCAACATGAATAAGTACATATTCTCATGATATTTAATTGTATTAAAAATGGATTAACTAAAAGAATTTGAAGTCTTAGCATTCATCTCTCATATTTGACAAAAACTTCATAATTGACTTAGTTAATATACTTAGTTCATTTATTATAAATACTCAAAACCAATATGGCTATTCAATTAAGGTTGAAATCAATTGACATACTCTATTCACAATTTTGGTACTTATTCACGATCCCGTTCACTTGTGGAAAATCAGATGATCATTCAACGAGAACTAAGGGTTAGTCACGGTTGAACCATACTGTAAGTCTCATTATTTGTAATGGATTGTTGATTGGTAAATTGCCCGGAGTTTTTTGATTTTTTGCGAAGGGTTTTCTCCGTAATCATATCAGTGTTATTTACTACTTTCGATTTACAAATTGTGGTATTCAAATTTTGAATAAATTAACTTGGTTATATTCGATAAAATTGAAACTTTCAATATCGAAAGTGTATTGAACACAAAGAACGGTAAATGTGAGAAAGTTTGCATTTGATGTGGAGCCCAACAAAAATTCTAGGAAGAATATCAATATACGATACAACTAATAGGAATGTTTAGCTTGGTGTGACATCTATTATAAATATAATTTATATATCATGTAGCTGGGTTCAACGATCATCGTTTCTTTATTCTCCTTCAAGAAATGATTTATTTTCTAGATTTTGGAGAGTTTAAATTTTTTAGACACAGATTCCCTAATTCACACTTTTTGACGTGCCTAATTAGGCTTGACAAAACCAAAAACTTATGATACTTGACATGACTCACGATGATGATCGGCATCCAGCTTGTTATTTCTATTTTTTTTTTCATTTCCATTGTAAATAAAAAGTGTAAACGTATATCGTGAGACTCAACTTCTGGAATTAATGAAACAACGTTTTCCTCAAGTTGTACCGCATTTCTCCCACACCAAAAGTATGCGGGCCCATATTTAACATTTGACTATACGAAACAAGAAACACTCAAAAGTTCTAATCTGCCTGGGATCAAATATTTTTTTAGAACATGAAGCATTAATTAAACACTCCAGTGATGCACGTACTACATGTGGCTATATTTGACAGATACGATGGCCAAACAATTGAACCCAAATGAAAAATAACTAAACGGATGACTTAAATGCTCACATTGGTGAGAATCGACCAATATAAATTTGTGTGTTTCTTTTCTTGTTTGTTCGTGGTATTATTGGAACAAGATAATTGTAAGATGAAATCAATCACAAAAAAGAACAACTAGACTTTACTTGAAAATCCAAGATGGGAACTCGAGTGAGCGGAAATGCGATGACTTTTTTCCTTGGTCCATATTTGGACTCCTTCATAACCTCTTAATCGAAACATCAATTCCCTTTCAATCAAAACACCAATTCTAAGTAGAGTCTTGGTCACAACTCAACCGTTCGTAATTGCTCTCGATATTGAGTTTGATTTTAAATTATTACAAGGACACCGTTTAAAAACACACGGATTTTGTTATTCATGCACAATCAACTATAAAAGACCTAAAGGTGAATAAATTAATAATGAAAACAAATATAAAAAACGTGTTTTGGATTGCAATTTAAACAAACAAACGATATTTTTCTTGGTGAATGGTCCACATGTTTGGGAATAAAAGGCCTCAAACCATGTAAGCAGTTGGACAAATAGTAGACTTTGGCTGTCCTCAATTAGTCCATATTTCAGTTTACTCTAGGCCATGACATTAGGCAGAGTGGTCCAAACACATCCGACGCCAGCTATATATTCTCCCAAGAAAGCATGCATTTTCTTTGAATTTCACGTGTCATGTGGACCCTCGTTTACAACATGCCCACCAAAACATTGGCGCTCTACATTCAATCTTGTATTCAATGCGGTCTTCTTTATTAGGGATCCATTTGGCATGATCAAAGAAAGCATGCATTCTCTTCGAATTTCACGTGTCATGTGGACCCTCGTTTACACCATGCCCACTAAAACATGGAAGTTCTACGTACAATCTTGTATTCAATGTGGTCTTCTTTATTAGGGATCCATTTGGCATGATCCAAGAACGCATGCATTTTTTCGAATTTCACGTGTCATATGGACCCTCTTTACACCATGCCCACCAAAACATGGAAGCTCCATGTACAATCTTGTATTCAATGTGGTCTTCTTTATTAGGGATCCATTTGGCATGATCAAGGAAACCATGCATTTTCTTCGAATTTCACGAGTCATGTGGACCGTCCAAAACATGGAGGTTCTACGTACAATCTTGTATTCAATGCGGTCTTCTTTATTAAGGATCCATTTGGCTTGATCCAAGAAAGCATGCATTTTCTCAGAATTTCACGTGTCATGTGGACCCTCATTTACACCATGCCCACCAATACATGGAAGTTCTACGTACAATATTGAATTCATTGCAGTCTTTTTATTAAGGATCCATTTGACATGATTTTTGCTTAAACTTTTACTGCTTTGTATACAGGAAGTGTTTTCAGAAGAAGGTACATTTAACCAATTTCCTCTAAAAACTCTTCTAATTAGAATAAGCATTTTTATAAAATTAGTCAAGTTCAAAAGTAGCTTTTAGGTTTCAAAAACTGTTTTGACTGCTCAAAAGCTTTGCTAAACAAGCTCTAATTCACAAGCAGTGTTTACTTTTGAACAATAATGGTTTTCAAATGAACACAATCTTCTAAAGAATAACGCTAGATGTATATTTTGGTTAACAACTTTTTTAACATTCCTCTATGTGGAAGAAATCTAGGCGGTGATGTGATGATTGTGATTAAAATCAATGATGTAGAGCTATTCACATGGAAGAGTGTAAACTAGAGTGTAACCCACAATGTGCATAGCATGGTTGTCTTCTAAAAATCCAAGTTCCGCATGACGAGACATGTAGATCTATAGTGCCATACTAATGTGATTAAAAACCATATGGCATGCTAACCAATTATGGGACATTAAAAGGACAACCTTAATTAACAGGGTGAATGAGAGCCTTAAAGACAAGACAATTTTGTCTTATTAAGAAGGTGAAAATCTATATGAAATCTTTCTTTCTTACCACTTTCTACGTCAAAAATTGGTAACAGAGAAGATAAATTGACTCTACAACCCAAGCTTCTCCTTAAATTCCTCCCTTAATTTTTCAACCATGGCTCGCTCTCTATATATATTACAACTTCTTTATTCACTTACAGAACAAAATATAATAGAAACCTTATTTCACTTCTTCGATACAACATGAGATATTCATCCATCTTCTTTGTGAAACAAAACAACATTCTTTCTATCATAAGCTTCACTATTTTTTCAATAAGCTGCATGGTTATAAAATTAAGGCTTTGTTCCTCTGCTGCCCCATCTTCACTCGAGGCACTCCAAGTCGACGGGCATTTCAGTTTCGTCCAAAATGAATTTGCAGCTAGAGATTTTGGCAATCAGTTTCACTTCCTACCTTCAGCAGTTCTACATCCCAAATCAGTATCTGATATAGCCACTACTATTAGACATGTTTGGCAAGTGGGACCCGGTTCCGAGCTGACTGTTGCGGTCAGAGGCCATGGCCACTCGGTACAAGGCCAAGCGCAAGCTCCACAAGGAATTGTAATCAACATGAAGTCACTGAAAGGGCAAGGTATGCAGGTCCACACGGGAAAATTTCCTCATGTGGATGTCTCTGCTGGCGAGTTGTGGATTGATATTCTGCAAGAATGCCTGAAATTCGGGTTAGCGCCAAAATCTTGGACAGATTACCTTCATCTAACAGTTGGTGGTACTTTGTCGAATGCTGGGATCAGTGGGCAGGCATTTCGACATGGTCCTCAAATCAGCAACATCGACCAACTTGAGGTTGTCACAGGTTTGTTTCAGAAAAAGCTTAATTATGACATAGTGATAAACCACACTATTGAGTACATGATCAAGGGAGAGAGAGAATTTTCATAAACTGGCATATAGAACTCACTGCAATAAGACTTGAACTCATGACTTTCACGTGCTCTGGTACCATATTGAACCGTCAGCTCGTTTAGAAACTTAATTAGTTATTGTAAAAACTAAACTTTGTTTGTTTAAATCAACATCATTCATCCAATGAGGAAACCACTGAAGTACTTGTATTTTGATAATACTTGAAACTGAAATGCCAAAATGCAACACCAAACTATAAGTTCTTATATAATTATGAATTATCTACTAGTTCAAAAAATTATGAATTATCTACACAAATGTGAACTGAATTCGGTGCAGGAAAAGGAGAAGTGGTAATTTGTTCAGAGGAACAGAATGCTGACCTCTTCCATGGTGTTCTTGGTGGACTTGGTCAATTTGGTATTATAACTCGAGCTAAAATTCCCCTGGAGCCCGCACCAAAGATGGTAAACACTCGTCTAATATCTATTATAAGCTTTCTGAATAGTGGTTATATAATTTCGTAAACTTATTCCAACTTTGATAGGTCAAATGGATCAGAGTGCTTTATTCGGATTTTGACACCTTTGCTAGAGACCAAGAACGTTTAATATCTGCAGAAAACACGTTTGATTATGTAGAAGGCCTTGTAATCGTTAACAAGACGGGTCTTATTCATAACTGGAGATCATCCTTCAACCCACAAGATCCAGCTAAAGCCAGTCGATTCATATCAGATCGAAGAACTCTCTTCTGCCTGGAATTGACAAAAAATTTCAATCCTGAGAACGCTGATAAAATAGAACAGGTGAGGGGCATTGTTGAAATGTTTCGTTTGAAAGATGCCCTATTGGGCAAGAACATTTATTTTCTGTTGAAGATCTGACACGTACAAAATGTAATAAATTGGATGGCAGCGAGAGATGAAACTAGCACCTTCGCCTTCATTGAACTGCCCCATCCATAAACTCAAACAGTTAAAAAAAGAAATTAGCATGACTTTCCCATTTAGATGAATACTAATATTCAAATCTTTCCTCTCAATGCAGGAGATTGCGACAATATTATCAGAATTAAACTACATAGCTTCAACACTCTTCATGTCAGAAGTTCAATATATAGAATTTTTGGACAGGGTTCACTCGGCAGAGAGAAAACTAAGATCAAAAGGATTGTGGGATCTTCCACACCCATGGCTTAATCTACTTGTGCCAAAAAGCAAGATTCACAACTTTGCTGAAGTTGTTTTTGGCAACATTCTAAGGGACACAAATAACGGCCCAGTCCTCGTCTATCCAATGAACAAATATAGGTAACACTCTCATCTCAATACATTCATTGAAAAATGGCATGTTTACTGAATTGGATTAGACTGCACTCCGTCCAATTCAGTCTAGTATTGCTGATAAAGATGCTTTGAATCATCATAGATTTTGTTTTTTAACGCAACATTTATCAGGTGGAACAATAAAACTTCAGCTGTACTTCCAGAAGAAGACATTTTCTACATGGTGGCATTCCTTCCCCATGCAATTCCCTCATCTATGCAAAATGATGGGTTACAATTCTTGATAAGTCTAAACAACAGAATTTTAGACTTCTGTAAAACGGCCCAATTGGGAGTAAAGAAATATCTTCCTTATTATACAACACAGGAAGAGTGGAAGGAACACTTTGGTCCACAGTGGGAAGTCTTTTTACGAAGGAAATCAGCTTATGATCCACTAGCAATTCTTGCTCCGGGGCAGAGAATTTTTCACAAGGCGATATTTACTATATAACTTGGGCAAAATATTTATAAAAGATAGATTGATCTTACAACATATGTACAGTCAGTGTATATTCTAATTTTAATTTATAGATGTAACGCCCAATTTCCATTAACACGAGGCGCTACTTAAGTCGAAATATCCTGTAAATAATTTTTCTCAATAAACGGCAAAATGCGTGAATACCTATTTTTTCAAAACTATAACAATTTAACATTAAATGCGGAAACT